ACCCCCATACTACCCACAAACTGACGGCTGAAGCAGTTGGTGGATGCGTAGTCTGGTTAACACGGTACTTGACACACTGTAGCCGACACAACCTTTCCCATTACTCGGAAGAGTGAGTGTCTTGGGGTGGCGCTCTCAAGGAAGGGGTGCAGGCCTGACTTCCCCTCTCAGTGACTTGCAATTTTGTTCTCAAGGCCTTTTCTTGACTGACTAGAGAGTTGTAAAAAAGAAGAGTACAAACAAACAAGAGTTGTTTGTGGTATATATTTACATTTGACTCTCAAAGTGGTCTAGATTTAGCTGTATAATCTTCCACTTAGAAACTCTAACACTACTAAGCTACTGGAATAAAATAGTAGTCCAACGTGACAGACTAATGTGTACTTGGAAATTAAAGATCATAGTAAAAATTAACATGCCATCAGTCAATATAGCAGCAAGATATTTCTACAAGAACTTTACTGTTTTAACTTAATGGAGTTAAATCCAAACAAGATATATCTCTCATTTATTATTTTGGGAAAATAGTTAATATTTTCATCCTGCCCCTCCCCCCCCCAGTCCTAGAGCAGAAATTCAATTCTGAGGTCCTTAGGCTTGGTTTTATTTTGATTTTTCACCCTGCAATATGAAACGTATGACTCATGAGTACCCTCAGCATGCAGGTAACGGAGCTGACCTACTTCCTAACAGGGAATTAAAGGGTGTCTTCATGGTGAGAATTGTGTATGAACTTGTCACTGGTCCTGTGCTGAAAGGGTAGATGTTGGTGACACGGGCCATTGGGCATACGTTGTTACTTTTGTATGCACTGTCATGACTACTACCTTCTTCTTCTCTCTTCCACTTACTGTCTTAACTTGATAGTTCTTTTTTTTTCCTTGCTGAAATTTTCTGGGTAACTTGAGAAGAAAGTTATAGCATAATTTTTTACTAGCAAAAATAGGCATGGTTTATGATTCAACAACGGTATGTTTGAGTTGATATGTCTCCTTAATAAGGTATCTTATAACCAACTCTGTGGGCCTCAGTTTTTGTGTCTGTGAAGTGGGCATGATTCTGCCTTCTAGACTTACGTGTCTAGAAATGTGTGTGGTCTAGGGCAGAACTGAATTTTTAGTTCTGCCCCCCCCCATTTCCTGTTTACTTTCATTTAAAAAGTATAACTTGTTAGAAAAATGCCTTCCTTAGAGAATTATTATAGAAAATCATTACTAGTTGATACTGAAGTGCACAGACACGTGTGAGCTGCTACCCTTTAGTGGGAGTTTTAGCACCAGTGTCCTCCCTGATTTTGCACCCGGGGCCTGCTAACATCCCAGTCGTTGGCATCCTACAGTCCTACAGCTGCAGGTCACAGTTGGAGGCAGGCAGGACCAGAATGCAAGCCCCCTCCCCTTTTTTAAGAAGTGTGTGGGGGTGGTGGTGACAAAGCCTTGGGATCCCAGGTGTGTCCCACCTCCAACTCTCAGAGCGCCAACTCTTGTGTCTATGCAGGGAGGAGCGTCCCCTTGGAGTTCCATCACAATTCTTCCCTTCAGCAACATGAAAGATGCCTTGGCATAAATAAAAAAAGACACTGGGCATATTCCAGGATTTGAATACCTTTGGATTGGGTTCAAGATAGATCTGACCCACATAAGAATTACTCTTTAGAGAATGGGTTATGATTAGATACGAAGGGGGTAATATTATTCCCTCAGATGTCAGATGTACCGGGTTGCGTGTGTGTATACACTGACTTGTGCCTTCAAAGTAGCGCTATTAAACCTTTAAAGAAAGGGATACCTCTCTCCGTAGTATACTTCTAAGCCAATTCAGAAGTCATTGGACAGATGTCATATAACACTAATGTTAAATTACTCGGTGTAATAAGAAAATTACAGTACCTACGTGAAGATAGTAAAGGGAAACCACCCAATGAATTACTCTCAGATTTCAAAATGAGATGACGTCTGTAGAATTAACAGTGGTACCCTGTGACTTTAGAAAAGTCAGTCTGGTAGGGAGCAGAGGACTCAGGGACAGAAGGGAAGCTTTTCTCTGTACCCGCCAAATTTTTGTTATACTAGAAGAATTAATAAATTCGTACAGATGTCAGCTGTCCAAGAAGTACATTACTATTATTGCACTGTGAGGTGAGACTTTTATTAAAATCTGACTGGCTTCTCATTGAGCTGTTTGATACAAAAATCGCAATAACCATTCCATATATATATATATATATATATATATATATATATATATATAAAATATATTCCTTTTGCTTTTAAGCATCCTTTGAAATTTATTTGGAGAACATAGTATGGCCAAAGAATAAAAATGTACAAAGTTTGACCACTTTAAATAATCACCAGCATTTTCTCAGAGAGTAAAACCTCACTAACAGTTAGGAAGCAACATTTATATCTAAGGCTGAAAAGCCAGGATGTAGAAAAATTTTGCTAATTTGGAAGATGACCTTTAGGTGCACCAAAACCAAATAATTTGTAGGCTGTGACATAGGGTGAATTCCTCCAAAATTTGTGTGAACACTTCTTCCGTGGTTCTTGAAAGACAAAGGAAGCAAACGGGAAGGAAAGTCTTCCCCCCTTCCAAATAAGACGGGGCCTAACAAAAGAGTACAGCAGGCCCCTTTCAAAGTTCACCATTAAAACGGGGCCTCTCTGTAGCACAGCTAATGAGATGGCTCATGGCGGAAAGCAATCTGTTTTTAAGAATGTTTAGATCAAAAGTAATTTCTAATCTATGAAATAAGGCCCTTCATTCACCAGTGAAGCTTTTATGTATTATTTACTTCAATCAGATGTTTTCAGTTCTATCTTTCTCCCTTCTCCCCTACAAATACATGGCATGGTTCACCAATACTGACTCTTCAGAAAAGAGATGTTTGAGAGAGGTAGAAAGAAGAAGAGAGAAACCATCTTTGCCTAAGTGGTTTGCAAGCATCTGTGCTTGAAGCTACTTTTTATGAACACTCCTTGGTAAATGACTCAAGGTAAAAAAGCAGAAAAGCATCCAATGTTAGGAAATTGCAATCCAATACCATGTAATTTAAACCTGTGGTTGCTTCTCTTATACTAAATGACATACAGATGGCTAGCTTAGCTCTCACAACTTTGGGAACACAATTGGTCTTTTTATATGAATGAACATATAGTAACTCAAAATATTTTAGACGGATTTGCTTAATTCTAACTGTTCAGATCTTAATTATCAAGCTCATTGGAACTAATAATTTTAACCATGATAATTTGTCACATTAAGTTTGCAATTAATGAACTTCTTGACGAAATTAGCAAAGATACCCTTCTAACAAATAAATAAAAAGCAAAATAACTTTTTAAAAGAAGTCTAGAGGGAGGTAAATAGACTCTCACCCATCTCTGGGCACCAACTGTTTGAGAAATGCTTTCCAATTGAACAGACTAACCAGGGGGACATTTCTGTGTATGCCTTGGACAGCAATAGGGTTTGTCACAGGGCTTTTCACACCAGGATGAGCCTGGTGTTAACTGGGGCTCAGTGAGATGGGAGGCCTTCAGTGCCTTCCCTGATGTGCCTGTTGCTCCGGGGTCTCTTCTGGATCAACAGAGGATCAGAAAGGCCAGCCGAAGTAGAGTCTGGCTTCTGCAGGCCTCACCAAGGTCATCTTCTGTTTGGCTCTAGTTTGTTCCTTTCCTGGCTCCCCATTTTCTGGTGGAGAATGAGCCATCTGCCTCGGTGGCGCCAGCCCTTCAACCCCACAACCAGGACAACTGGTCAGGTAATCTTTGTGGGTTTAATTCAATAATCTCATGTTCTACGTTAGCTATCTTAGAAGTAAACAGTGGAGAACAGTCCCAGTGCCGAATCAAAGACATTGAAGTGAATGCTCAGGACACTAAGAAGGCTAACTGCAAAACAGGGTGGGGAATCTTCCATGGAGAGCCATCTGCAAGTCTCTCTGTCCCACTGCGGTGGGTGGCGAAGAAAACTCATTTTACCACAGTGCGTCATGGCAGCCCCGTCTCAGAGCTCTATTTCTTTTCATTTGTTTGCTCAAGTAAAATAAAATACTACACATAAATAGGTGTTGTCTGAATGTTTTACTACAGTCTGCATACATTGAAATAAAAACTACCCTTGCTGCTAGCCACATTAGAATCATCTCACCATTCAGAGACCCCCGATGAGTGAAGTCATTCCAGCTGGGCTGCACAGGGACAGCAAAAGCCTGCAAGAGAAGTCACACTCACTCTTCGGTCTGTCCGTCCTTCTGTCTGTCTGTCCCTGTCTTTTCTCTTTTCCCATCCCCCCCCCCCCCGCCCAAATTTTTGAATCTGCCTCAGTATAAATAAATGCCTTCTCCTGAAAGTTTCTTGCTAACGTGGTAAGATAGGGTCTTTAGAAAAACATGCATTTCTAAAGACCACGTAGAAACTGATAGACTCACAGAGAACAGTTCCTACTGTAGAAAACAATACATCTTTAGGGCTCTCAGGAAAATAAATAGGATGGTAATTAAGTCATCTTGGATGAAAATGGAATTGTGATGGTCTCAAGCTATTCTACCAATTTGCAAAATTATTGAATGGGTCTTTGTATGTCCGTTCTCAGGTATTTGTGTACATATACATGTATTTAGTGAGCACTTACAAATGCATACACGAGATTGAATTCGTCTTTTAAAAAAGTAGTCTCAGGGTATCATATCAGGTGGTATATAAGATGTACCACCATTCTGGAAACAGTACCCAGTGAGTTTTTAGTATCATGTGTTAGCAGCCTTGTCTCTGACATCCTGCCGCTACTCCAGAGGAGTCAGTTGAATCTTAAGGTGTGTTCTTTTTGAACCTGGACACCAGCTGCTGCTCAGGTAAGATTTTTTTTTTTTTTTTTTTTTTTTTTTATTCTGTTTTGACAAGCGACCGTAGAGGCTGCACTGAGGCGACCAGCCAAAGCAATTGTTTAGGATTCAGACTAAAAAAGGCTCTTTCTCCCGTGTCCTCTCTTTCCAGGGTCATGTAGGGATAAAAAGAACTGTAAGGTGGTCTTTTCCCAGCAGGAACTGAGGAAGCGGCTGACACCCCTGCAATACCATGTTACCCAGGAGAAAGGGACCGAAAGGTAACGTGTGCTTTCATTAAAAAGCCAGCAAGCGGGGACCTCCTTGTTCCCTCCTCCTCAGAGTCCCCTTCCATGCCAGTTCATTTAAAGAATCCTATAAGTACTGGCTAAGGCTAAGTCTGCAAATGACTGTCTTTGAAAAGGTTGGAGATGGGACATTGTTTAGGTTTATTTCTGCTTCTTTCCTCTCAGTGAGCATTCTATCTTACATAAAGTCACGGGGCGTTTGGTAAGGGCCTGTTTTTAGTTTACAACAAAATGTGTGGAAGTAATAGTGATTTAGGTGCTTTTTTTTTTGGGGGGGGAAGATATCACAGCGAGGAAAACGTGAGGGATGTGGAGCTTTGCCAGGATGCTGGCATTTGTGAAGGTGGCCATTGTAAGCATAGACATTTTGGCTGTAAAAAGAAGGTAGCATAATTTAGTTCCTTTCTACCCCACTCCAATTTCTTTCTGAAGCACATGTGGAGAAAGTATTTATTGGCTCATTTGTGGTTGGAATGTCAAAAATTTTCAATAACTGCCCTCACATGGCTTTGGTCCTTGGAAGTTCGCCCTACATCCTGGAAGGAAAAAAAAAAAAAAAAAAAAAAAAAGAGAGAGAGAGAGAGAGAGAAAGAGAGAGAGGTTTGTTCACTTCCAAGATTGTTTGTAGTGATTCAAGTCTTTCTCAGCTGATTCTAGCTCAAAAGTAACTTGCCAAGGCCCAATGATTTTGTTGTCTAATTTATGCCGCAGAGCTTGGCACGAGGCTGTAAACGTATCCCTGATCCAGATTTATTAATGATGTAACTTAGTGTTTTCATTCATGAGCTGAAAGAGCTTATTCCCACACAGGGGATCCCTGTTAATAGGCAGCACACTCTCCCTTGTCACAGAATCTACTATTCGCCGAGTTCACCAAACAGAAATCTCCGACAAAGCATGCCCCCGTCGTCCACTGGGGCTGGTGGTGGGCTAGATTTGCAGCTCACAGGGTTTCTGCCTGCTCTGTTGTGTGCGTGGCTAGCAAAAAAAAAAAAAAGAAAGAAAAAAAAAAAAGATTTAATGCGCACAAACAACCAGAGATTAGGTCATTCTTAAAAATTCTGTTTATAAAAAAAAAAAAAAAAAATTGGACCTCGTAAAGAGGTGAAAGGGTAATGAAAACAACCTGCACAGCACACAGACTTTTTGTTGGGCTACCACAGCTGATTTGTGTTAGCTGGATGACCTCCTCGCCTTTAAGATTGCCAACTTAGAAAAATACTCCCTTAAAGCTGCAATATTCCTTTTCAAAACGAAAAGTGGAAAGTCAGACTCCTTCCATTGAAGACTTGGGCCCTGATACATATATTCTGGCCCCCTCTCGCATGGTGGGGAGTAGCAGAAGTCTTGAGTAATAGCGTTCTTTATGTGACTCAAACATTCCCTTTAATTTGAAAAATATTCTAAGTATTACACACTAGATGGCTTGGTATTTTTTATTTAACCTGTACTAGTTTGGAGTAGTTATATGCACGTTTATTATATACACATACATTTGAAGTATATTAGTATGGTTCAGCTTTCCATATGTTTGGTCTGTTCTCATTTTAGGGCCAAAAACCCTGGAAAGATTTCCTAGAGAAATGTATATTAGACCATCGTGTTCTGTAAGAAGTAATACTAGCTCTGTTAATATTTTTTGATGATCTGTTTATTTTTTTTATCAGTGCCTTTGAAGGGGAATATACACACCACAAAGACCCTGGGATATATAAATGTGTTGTCTGTGGGACTCCATTGTTCAAGTAAGTGTACTGAAAGCTGGTAGGTATGGCTGGGTCACATGACAGCGGACCTCTTACTGCATTCATGACAGCGGACCTCTTACTGCATTCATGACAGCGGACCTCTTACTGCATTCATGACAGCGGACCTCCTACTGCATTCATGACAGCGGACCTCTTACTGCATTCATGACAGCGGACCTCTTACTGCATTCATGACAGCGGACCTCTTACTGCATTTACCTAAGAATCTTTCCTTTGACAAAGTTGTTTCTGTCTTTTTCTAATTTATGTGTGTGTGTGTGTGTGTGTGTGTGTATGTGTGTGTGTCCATGCTCCATGAAAACAAGACTAATTACAGGCTTTCCTGGTTGATCACTCTATGACAGAGTGGCTAGTATTGTACTGTTTGGACATTTAAAAAAAAAAAAAAAACAGCATTAATTTTGTCTCACCTTAACAACCATTGGCCTTAGCAGAAGTACGAAGGAAATTTTGTTGAGCAGAGATCTGTTAGTATGTTTACTGGTTTTTCTACCTACAAGTGATAGATACCCTTAGATCCATTCATAGACCATTTTGCAACTCACTCATTCACACCCTTCAGGTTAAGACATATTCATCAAGAAGTCTATACTTCCACAATGAAGGGATACACCTGTACTTAGAGTAAATATGAGGCATATGACAAATTTTTTAAAATATATAGGTAATAATATTGTATACTTGAGGTTAACATTATTTTTGCATTGGTCTAAAAAAATCATCTTTTTTAAAAAAGATCCCAGCAGTTCATAATAATGTACACACCACATAGACCAACATAGTTAATTCTTGGACTGGATAGCATAATCTTAATCAGTGAAGGGTAATCTTTACCAAGGAACTTTAGCTGGGTGGGTGAACCTTATCCAGAAGGCTTACCAGAATGAGTGTTGTGTATCTAACACAGGATTATGAAGCTTCATAGGATGAATGAGTAAATAAAAATCTGATGGCCATGGCATGTGAGATACACTTTAATTTGCTCCATGTTTCTCTGTTAAGACACTAGCATTTACAGATATCTCTGAAATAGCAGGAAAATGGTAGTTTCCTTAACATTTTTGAAGAGTTTTGAATTTTCCCCCAATTACATAAACATTCTTGCACGTTAGTGTTGCTTGACAATCTGTTCTGAATTCTTACATATTTTTTTTCTTCATGTTAAAAAAAAAGACCCTTCAAATTGTCACCCATTTTTTCTCAGAATACACACATCCTCGTATTTCAACACCTTTAGCTTATGTCATAATAGTTGACATAACACTTCAGATAGCCGCTGAGCCGTGCTAAACTGGTTAATACTCCGAATGGTAAAAGCTGCCCACATCCCCTTTGCTTTTTGTTTAAGATGCCCCCCCACCCCCATCGTGTGATTTCACTGAAGGAAAACTTGCTGTTTTAAATAAGAAACAGAGCCACTGTAAAAGGGCGGATTTAACCCTTGTGAGAGTTTGGATCACGAGCTCAGAAAGCAAGACCCTTATCCAAGCATGCGAACAGGCGGGAGTCACATTCGCGGTCCTCCGGGGAGCCGCATCCTTTCTCTGAGCGTTTCTGTCAGCTCCATTTTCTGAAAACTTGGAGAGAATAGGGTTTGACTTTCCATTCACACTTTTGCTGTTCTCCTGCTGTCTCTTCTGGCTCCCTTGGGTACCCTTGAGAGAGGAGCATCTCCTGAGCTTTCCTTGTTGGAGACGGAGTACTTGGCCTGCAGTTGTTCAGAATGTGTGTCCTGGGTACCCACGAAGACTTCGGGGGCCGCAGGGCATGGGTGGTTTTGAGGGAATCGATTTTCCCAATCGCCCACACTCGGGCCGGTGGCCTGCGGCTTCCCCCTCTCTTGTGACCCTTGCCCTCACACTTCCCTTGGGGTGGCATACTTTTCATCTGTCTCAAATATTGCTGGAATTTATTGTCCCCAGTTACAGTCCTCAAGCATCAAGCAAAGTGATAGTTCAAGGATGTATTGCTTTTGAAGACAAGCTCCCTGAGGGAAAACCTCTACTACTACACAAACAAAACAGTGGTCGAAGAGATCAGTATCGTGAAATTCCCATGTTTTTTTTGTATGTCTTCCTATCTGTGTATCCATTTACCACCCAGGGACTTAAATGGGTAGTCATGAGAATATGTACCAGTGTGCTTATTCAAAAATGAAAGTTGAGGGCTTCATTGTTGTTTTAGAAAAAAAAAAAAAGTCTGATTTGATTGATGGCTATGTTGCTAAGGACTGGGGTTGCAAATTAGATCATGTGATTAATTTCTCCACTTGTTTATGATGGAAATATGTGGATCTGAGGTTTTGACAGAAACACTGTAAGCACAGTGTGTGTACAGAATACAAAACAACTGGAAATCCGTCTTTTGCAGGTATTTACATTTCTGGTAAATTATTAAAAGATACAAGGGAGAAAATTACCAATCAGCAAGGCAAGATTTAAAACCCACATAGTTGTTTTGACAAGAAAGTTTAAAGTATTGCAAACTATAGCATAGGGTTGGGATACGGAGGAATTTGCTAGTAAGAACTGGAAGGAAATCAGAAAGGTACAGACACAGCACAGTGGTGATGATGAATACAGCAGGTGTGTCGTGAAAACAGCAGGGTGATCATGAGTACAGGCAGCAGGAATGGTGATCACCAGTACAGACAGCAGGCATTTGGTATGACCTCTAGGGCAGAAACAGAAAGGCCTAGGAAGACCCTTCTCCTCAGTACCCTCTACTTCCTTTCTCTGGGGTTGAGAAGGAGACGGTGTGATTTCGTCTACCACATGGCAGAGAACTCATGGCTGTGCCTCTGTGGTGTAGTGTACTTGAAATACAAGTTTGCACTGGAATTTTGCCTGCTGGGAAATGATCTCTGGGAAGCTATCCTGTTGGGTGGCGGGGAAAGCTGTTGGCAGGAGCAGTTGGGAGCGAGGGGGAGGCCACTGGCTTTTCAGTACTGGCACTGCAGGGCAGAGTACCCTGAGAGCGCCTGGCGTTGCTACTCCGGCTGCAGCGGCTGAACTCGTGGGACCTGAGTTTGCTGGAGGGGACGGTACAGGAGAAGCTGCTTCCACAGGGGATGGGGCCCTGGAGAAGCTGTGAACACAGAGGGAGCTTGGCGTAGCAAGAGCTATACTCCGGGCGGGGCACTGGAACGGCTGCCCGTATTGTAAGAACTAGAAAGGGAGTTATCTCAATATTCTTTTCTGGGATCCCCGATCAAAAGTCGAGAACCACGCGAGCGGATTGGTTGTGGGATGCTCGAGGAGCCGTTTGCTTCTTGCTTTGAATACAGAGTATGGAAAGCAGTTGCCGAGTGATATGAGTGAATGCGTATTTGTGTTTTTGTTTTTTAAGGAATGGAATGAGAGACGAAGAGAACAGATTAACTAGGAATATTCTGAGAAAACAGTAGGAGACATAAGTGAAATACTGAATTGGGGAATGTCTAAATGCTTCCCAGACTTCTATTCCGCTATCCGGCCCATTCTTAGAGCATGTGTGTGCATAAGCTTCTCTTTAAAACTCTCTCTCTCTCTCTCTCTCTCTCTCTCTCTCTCTCTCTCTGTTAATATATGTGAATGAGGGCACATACCATTACTTTTCTGTGGCGGCTGGAGGACAACCTTGGTTGTTCATCATTCTTCCGTCTTGTCTGTTTGAGAGAGGTGTCTAGCTGTACATTGCCATGTATGCCAAACTGGTATGTTTCTGGATTCTCATGTCTCTCCCCACTTCTCACAGGGGCCTGGGAGCGCAGACTTTCACACTAGCTTTTTTTTTTTTTTTTTTTAACCTGGTTCCTGGGAAGCTAAACCCAAGTCCTCACACTTGGGTAGCCACTGTACCCACAGAGCTATTTCCCCAGCCCATAATCTTCTTTTACTTGACTGACACATATATTATACTTCCTCACAAAAACGCCTATTTAATTATTCTCATTTTATTCCCAAACTTGTAATGTAAGCCGTTTCCTCCTTTGAACAATACGCTGCTTTCTTCCTGCCTTGTTACGGCCTGCTTATACACCAACGTGTGATTTATCCTACCGTTCATGATTTCCTCGCATTCCCAGGCTTTACCAAGCTAGTTTATTTCTCATACGGCACTACCGACTTTCAGTTAGAAAATTTACTGACAGGGAGCAAGAACGTTCTCGCCTCCGGTTATTTGAACTTTTAAAATTTCACAAGGTGAATTTATTACACATTAGATAGACCAGAGAGAGAATTGGTAAAACAGTTAGATTCAGAACATACTTTTGACCATTTATATTGTGCTGTGGCTGTTACATTGCCAGGCGCGATGGAATAAATCAAATAATGTCACAAAATATTTTTCTCACTGAAGCTATGTTGGGGTGGGGAAAAAAAAGACAAACAATTCTCCGTGTCACAATGCTGCTGGTTTCATGTATAATTGGACTACATATGACTGTGTCAGGTTACCAAGGGTTCATGGGACATGAGGACACGTTTTACTAAGGGGAGGGAGGAGGATTAAGGGGAAGGGGGCAGGAGAGAGGGATGGAGAGGGGGAGTGGGCTTGGCTTTTCTCTGGTGGAGGATCCCGACAGAATATTATGTGGAAAGAGGATTTAGAGATAAGATCAAAGGGTTAGTTTTTTTTTTTTTTTTCAAGAAAATGGGACCAATAGGAAGGGAGAGATGGACCATGTTGGGAACAACGGGAGATGCCCCTGAAGAAAAGGCTTTTAACCTACTTGGAACCCTGTAAGGCCCAGCATGCTCCTCTCCATCAGAGTCTTTGTTTCCTCTTTGTAGAGTGAACGTGGTCCCACACCTCTGTTCCCTAGCATGTCCCTCCATCATTGCAGTTACTGCTTTGTTCTGGATTATCTATGTGTGTGCATGCCTCTGTGTGTGTGTGTGTGTGTGTGTGTGTGTGTGTGTGTGTGCACGTACCTGCCCTCTACAAATCAAATTTCACAATGGAAAGACCACACCCTAGTAATATATTTTTCT